TCGAATTGTTTTTTCTAAGTTTTTTTTTCTAAGTTTTTTTTCTAAGTTTCTTTTTCTGTTTTCCTTTTCGATTTTTCACCCTTTTCTGTTAAACAGAAAAGGGTGAAAAATACTTCATTTAATTCTTCAAATAAAATGAATGCTGTTTAGCAAAGCTAGCAAATCTTGAAGAAGCAGAACCGCGGGAAAGGAGGGGCCAGAGCGGGCTGTCTACAAGTGGACAGACGCTGGGCAGAAGCCGTCCTAAAGCTGGGCAGCGTTTGATCTATGAAATGCTAGAAGTTGCCTGGAGTTGGGACAAAGGCTGCCCAGAGTTGGGGAATAAGTTGCCCACATTTACCGAGCAAGCTCCTGGGCAAGCTAGCCAAATGCTCCCTTAGAGTAGCCCCTATACCCACCACATAAAATTTCAGACTCCTAGGACCATTTTGAATTTTTCCATTGCCATGGTGTTTTCGAGTTTCTCAGAGATTGTGTCTTAAGTGGTACGGTAGTTGTCGTTGTGGGACCTCCGGCAATGGCAACCGGTGTTTCTCATTCACAATTCCAACTTTTGCACCAGCATAATAATATGCCACTTGTTCAAAATACACTTCCTTGTCACCGAAGATCTCTAGACAATTCCTCATAAGTTTTTAGTATATGAAAAGAAAATTTTGATGTTAGAATGCCAGAAACTAGAGATTAGCTTTCCTATAATTACACAGTTAGTCAGCATTTTCGAATTCCCATTTCATATTTTTTTCATTCCAATTTTCACTTATTTTTGAGTCTCATATAAATATTTTTTAAATGCCCGATCCAATTTTTCACCCGAATATTTCCAATGAATACGATCCGATTATTTTTCAATGTAATCCTGATTACGATAAATATTCAGAAACTCTTAAATGGTTCCTTCAAATTGCTTATCTTTTGCCTGGAGGTTTTTTGAAACAACGAGAAATTAGATAATACAAAGTGTTTTGAGTTTTCAGGAATTTTAAATTTTTTAATACTTCGTGCAGTACTATTCAAGAATCAGGACACCCATACATCGAGTTCCTTTTTCACAATCTTCTACGTCGATTGTTTTGTCAGTCTAACTCTGATTTCCATTGATCTGGTGGTCCGAACATTCATATACTTCACTCCCTTGTGCCCGATTCTTGCACCACTCTTTTTCGAACCATTGGTAGCTTTCAAAATCATCATGATCATTATTAATCACTCAAAAGCTTGCAAATCAATAATTCAAACATTGTTAGTCTTAAATAGAATGTCCGGCTCTAGTATGAAATTCTGGTCCTTAAAAAAAATTCTGGTCCTTAGAAAAAATTCTGGTCCTTAAAAAAAATTCTGGTCCTTAAAAAAAATTCTGGTCCTTAAAAAAAATTCTGGTCCTTAAAAAATTCTGGTCCTTAAAAAAAAATTCTGGTCCTTAAAAAAAAATTCTGGTCCTTAAAAAAAAATTCTGGTCCTTAAAAAAAATTCTGGTCCTTAAAGAAAGATGTGGGTATTTGAATAGCTTTAATGTTTTTGTTTGAAAATTTGGTTAGATTGAAACGTTTATTTATTCCAATCATGTTTTCAATAGTTTTGATGTTTTAAAAATAATTTTTTTTGTAATTTTGATTTTTATTCAGAAGAAGGTATAAGACTAAAAGGTGTGGCATATAAGAATTAGAGAGGATAAATAGTTCAGAACACAAAAAAAAAGAATATCGGTTGCAACAAGATGATCTTATCCGCGTCCTTTGAACTTCCTTCGGCCGGTGAGTCATCTTCTTTCTTATAATACTTCATCTCGATCAGAAGGTGGTTCAGAAGTTTTTTTCTTCCGAAGTATCGTCTAAACATGTATGTCGACATGTATCCGTCGAGTTGATCTTCTGGGACGCCATATTTCGCTTTGAGTTCCCGTTTGAAAGCACCCCATGTGGCTTCAATAGACTGAGTGTGAACTCGTCGATCGCTGGGGTCAACAAAGTTTACTTTGTGATTGACCCATCTGTGTGTAAACGCTCTCTGGAGGGTTCTGATGCCTCCGTAGGCGGCCCAACCATCGGATACAATCATAGAGCCTGAAGTAGACAAAATTGAGCTGAGCAGGATGTATTTTTTTTTCTTACCTGGTTTGACATGTGCTCTAATGATCGGGAGTAGAGTTGCTGCATCTCGTTGCTTCACGCGGAACATTGCCACCTTAAAAAACAAATTAAATACCAATGAAGCGATGTTTTCCATCTTGCCCATGTAAAAAACTATGAGCTCTGGAAGTGATTTAAACACAATACTATCTTTTATGAGTGTTTTTCAAAGAAATTATATGATCAATAATACATTGTTGAATAAGTATAGCTTCTAAGAACGTTATATCAAGAGTCACTCACTTTATTTGTGTGACGTTCAGTCATGCCAAATATCCAGATAGATTTTCTTCTTAGCATGTGCCCACGGTTGTATTTCGCTTTATACATGTGACTTTCGTCGATTTCGACGATTTTCCCTGAAAGTGACTATTTTATTCTGGAAAAAATTACTAACTACCTGGTCCACCAAGCAGAAAATTTGAATTTTTTTCAATTTGTCGCTCGAACCATTGCTCCGTCAATTGTCGGAAAAGTTTGTTGAGATTAACAATCGTCGAAGTCGTGACTCCATGCAACGAAGCTGTTCTTTCGTTGTTTCGTCCTGGACTTTCGACCCAATCCGCCGCTATGTGTACTATTTTTTGTACGGATAGTTTTTGTTCTTGGAAAAATGTGTTCTCTCTGTAATGAAGTTACTGGGTGAGTAGAATTAGAAGGAAATCACTTACCGAATCATTTTCTTTGTGATGATATTTGAAGTTTTGCATGAAGAGCATCGCCAGACGAAATGTAACGGAAGGGCATTATCTTTGACAAGACTCATCTTACCGTTGAGGCATTCTGGGCACTCTCGCTCATTCGGCACTAGTCCATATCTGAAAAGTCTCTTGAGAAAATCTCTTGGGAAAACAGAACAAAAAACTTACGTCGCTAGAAATCGCAGTGCTGCTTCATCCGATTCCTCGGTTCCATCGATGTTGCCAATAAAATCCGCGATGTTTCGAGATGTGAGCTCAGGAAGATTTGCGATAGCTTCAACTGGTCGCAGTTCCGAGGGCTGGACGATGGTGTGTCGCTGTGGTCGTCCTTTGTGAGCGGACGTCGAAGACAGTAACATTAGTAGCATAAACATAAACATTATCATGGTGGACAATGTATAAAAATGTGTGTGTGCCACTCGCTTATATAGGGCCTTTTAACGGGGGGGGGGGGGGGGGTTCCAGGTGGGACTGTTACACCTGGGTTTTCCAGGTGGGGTTGTAACTTTAGAGTA